AGCGAGTAAACGCGCGAAACAATATAATTTAGATAAATAAGCCAAACTCCAGTAAATTGAAATTGATCATTGCAAGTTAAAAAATCTACTATAGTATAAATGACAGGTTTACTTCTTGCTATTGCTGTTGTTTATGGAGTTGCTTTCTTGCCTCTTTAACCTCATTTTGTTCCTCCATTCTAAATGAATATTATAGTTGAACGCCTAGACCCTATCCGAAGCATAGCTCCCCATCGAGGAACCAAAATTATTAGAAACAGAGTAGCTAACATCAATTATAATGCAAATTCCGAATCTTATCCTTTTAAACACATGAAAGAGAATACTATTTGTGAATCAATACAAATAAAGTAACACATAATGTCCTGAATAAAACATTTTGGAATAAATGATATGAAGATGCTGTAATGTTCAAGTACGTTAGGCATTTTGATGAATTTGTCCACTTTAAGTTTTTAGAAAGCACAGAAGTGATGATTGAAAAAACAGAGTGAAATGTCAAATTAGATTTCTCAACCAAACCCACACACCATAATGCCAAAAAGGTCCATCAGCAAAGTGAAACATCATCTATTGCTATCCGTCTTTACTATCTGATAGAGGAATGATCAATTAAATGGTAATTGGGCATAATCAAGATAGGATTGGATCATCAAAATTAGAATGTAAAAAAAAATAAAATTACCAGAAGATGAACACCTTCTTCATCACCATAATCCCATGGCCCGTTAGCTTTAATAACCACAAAGGAAAGATGAACAGTATCACCTTCATAGTGAACATCATGAGACAAGCATTCTTCTCTATCAATCCCAAAAGCCCCTTTCAACAAAATCATCATCACTAGTATCATATTTCTCAATGATCCAATTCCCATCTGCTCATTAATCAAATCAAAGGATTATCAATCACAACATAAAAATAACTGATTATTGTTAAATCAATCGGATTGTTATTACATTTGAATTGAAATTGAGAGCGAGTGTGCGAGAATAAATGGGAATGTCTCCAGTGGTTTGTTTAGAGTGTGGATCAATTATATTTGGCATCTCACGTGGCATAGTATTATTAAACCTCTTTGATAACTATTATTTTTAAATTTTTTTTTACACTCTTTTTCAATTATACAATTAAATTTTCGCACTTAAATTCAAAAATTTTCTCTATTTTTTTTACCATATATTTTTCTAAAAATCACCATTCAAAACTCTTTTTTTTTTTTTCCAAATAATGATTGTAAACGGAGGCTAAAATTATTCTTTTATAAATTAATAAATCATGCCACATATAATGACTACTGCGATCGTTGACTGTGAGTTTTGGGATACAAATTATGGCTTTTTCTAAAATATCATTTATGAGCTTTTACGAGAACAATTTTAAGTGGTTTATAGTCAGCAATTTTAAAACACTTTTTTATTCAAATATTTTCAATTTTTTTAAAATAGTAAAATTACACTTTTGGTAGTCTTACGTACGTGCGGAAAGTTAAAAAGAGAAAAGAAAAAAGAAAAAAATTACAACACCAATGTTGGATAAATAATAATATATATCACCAGTGGTGCTACAACACCAATTTAAGTGGTGTGATGTGATAAGCTCAATGAAATGTACAATTAAATAAGTCATTTAATTGTATCTCTCATTTAATGTCACATTAGTGTCATCTAAATTAGTGTTTTAACATCATTGGTGTTAAATAGCATTACTCATTTTGGACACTTTAGATTTTGAGTGGATTTTAGACTACTCAAAATCGGTCTCCAAAAAAACTAAAAAATACAAATTTTATCAACCTCTTATAAACTGTGTCATCCAAATATGATCAAAATAGGTGGAAAAAAAAAACTCCCAATAAAACCTATAAGGTAATGTCTCCAATTGTGTCTATGTGATAAATAAGCAAATTAAATTCTGAATTAAAATTTAAATCAAAATAAATAAATAATTTTAATCACACATTTCATGAGATACACAATTTTACAACAATACATATCATCTACTTTTAACAAAATATGCTAAATTCTGATTTAGCTAAATAAATAATGAATTTATAAATGCCTCGCCTGCCCAGATATTTCATTTCTATTATTGCAGTGAAATGCTTGTAATCCATTCAACAAAATAGGCTATATTAATGTTTTGCGGTTTGTAGTGTATTTTCAGTTGGGGTTTTAACATAAGAGTGAGTTGTTCACTATAATCATAAATAGTACCAAATTTAATTTTCAAATTACGTCATAAGTTGACAAGTGTGTCGATCAGAATTATACCATACTTGTTTAAATTCTAAATTACGTCATAAGTTGACAAGTGTGTTGATCAAAATTATACCATACTTGTTTAAATTCTAAATTGATTATTTAGAGTGTGTTTGGTAGAGATTAAAATCGGATTAAAATTGAAAAATTAATCGTTATTTATTAACTTTTCAATTTTTTTTACTTTTAGTTATATGTATTTATTTTCTCTTAATTTCTTTGGCTTAATAGGTGTTCGTCAAGTTACTCCAATTGTTCATTATCAAGCAATGATTCACTTGCAATTGCCAAACAACTATTGGATGAGACATTGAGGGAGGATATGTAACG